TTTTGGGTTTTTCTGGAATTGCTAAGCCCAGAGAGTTGGGAATGAGTGATTGGGATCAATTTTGGTTGTGTGATGAACAGGTTCAGTATGCTTGTGTGGATGCTTATCTTTCGTTTCTTCTTGCTGATGCTCTTGGCTATGGTTATGATGATTATGATGATGATGATGATGGGTATGATTATTATTATTATTATTATTATGATGATGAGTATTTGGACTATGATGATTTCTGCAATCCATTGAATTATAATAGGGATGGAGAGTATGATCCAAATAATTGCAACTCGTTCAATTTTTATCTGTCAGATTTTGAAGATGAAGATTAGTTCTGAATTTAGCTAACTTATACTAGTATGATATGATTATTAGGAACATTTTGATAGTTGGCAAATAATGAAGGAAGTGGTGTTGTGGTGGTGCTTGGGAATGAATGATTCCTTAGTTTTTTTTTAACAAACTACTACCTCCGTTTTTTATGTGCAACTTTGGCACAAGTTGCGGTTCACGAGACAAAAGATTGAAGGGCAAAGATTAAGAAAGTATAATGGTGATTAATATATTATAGGAGTATGTAATTAAGGTGGAGAGAGAATGTTTGGTTAATTAATCAAACCACCCACTGCCACCACCATGCCCAGCCACCACCACCGCCGCCTTCACCAAAACCACCGCCGGCTTCACCACCACCACTACCACCCCCACGAAACCACCACAACCAACCCCTCGAAACCACCACCACCCTTATGTCTTTCCCTCATTTTTCCGGCAGCCCCCTCCCTAACCAAAAAACCCAGAAATCTATCATTCCCCTCCACCACCACCCCTAACCACCTCCAACCCAGACCTCCCACCCCTCAAACCCACCTCTAACCCAGACCACCCCACCACCCAAACTCACCTCTAACCCAGACCACCCCAACACTCTCAACTATACACACAAATCCATCAAAACAACACTCAATTCAATCCAAAGTTAACCTCAAAATAATAACTCGAATTAAAAAAAAAAAACAAAATTAAAAATTTCAAAAATCAAAGAAAGAAACAGAACGTTAATCCAAAGTTTTCAGATTGTAGTGAAAACAAAATATAAAAAAAAAAATTGAATAACAACAAACCTCAAAATCGATCGAAGAAACCAAATTTTGGAAAAACAGAACACAAAAATTCCGATCTAAATTAAGATCGGATAATTAAAACACTGTACCAAAAAAAAGGAGAGAGAAAGAGTGAGATCTACCAGTTACTGAATGAAGAAGAAGAACGAGGACCCGAAAATCGAAAATCAGAAAATCGAAAAAAAAACCCAGAAAGCCGCTGGGTGGGATGGAAGGTGGTTGTGAAGAAGGAGAGAGAATGGTGGTGGGAGGGGCGATGGTCGTGACTCTTGGGGAAGAAGGGTGAAAGTGATTGTGAAGGAGGAGAGAGAATGGTGGTGGGAGGGGCGGTGGTCGTGACTCTTGAGGGAGGAGGGTGAAAGAGATGAAGGGTGAAGGTGAAAGAGATGAAGAGGGTGAAGGTGAAGAGGGTGAATGGGTGGTGGCTGGTGGGTAGAGAGATGAGTAAATGGGTGGTTAAAATTAGGTTAATTATTTTAGATTAGACAAAAAAGTTATTGTGTTTAAAATAAAATAAGGGTAACATTAAGAAAATTTGAATTTTTAAGTAAGGGCAAATTTGTAATTTTTAGGGTTTTTTTTTTACTAAAAATAGAAAGAAAAAAGAAAGTTGCACATAACAGTGAGCGGACTAAAATGGCAAAAGTTGCACATAAAAAAACAGAGGTAGTATATGTTAAATTGTAAAGGTTTCATTCCATTCTCTTTCATTCCCTTTTTATATTGCATTCCGATTCTGTTGTGCGAATCAAACGACCCCTAATAGTTAGAGCCCAAGAATTCCTGGACAAGAGTATATTGCCACTTGCTTTTAGAATCTAGTTTCATGGAGCCCTTTCTTATCTCTAATTTTCTTACAAAGTTACAAGGGTTACGTCAGGGTAGATCTACACACCATAGAATATATGGACATTAATTATTGACTTATTCACTTTTTTTTTTGAAAGAGACTTATTGAGAGTTAATAATGGATGCTCTTTTATATTGGAAACGTGATATTTTGCAGTAAATATACCAAGTATGTGGCATTACGCCATTACAGTGCTATTGATATAGACAGGCAGCGTGGTCGGTATGAGATATTTAGCGACATGTAGTTTTTTATTTTATTTTTATTTTTATTTTATTTATTTATTTTTGGTTCTATAATTCGGAGTACCATACAAGCATTTGACAATTAATATCTTTGGGTTGTGTTGGAAATAATACAAGGAAAAAATGGAAAAATAATATGGAAATTTAGTTGGGTGAATCGCGGATAACTTTCAATACTCCTCAAAATGATTCACGCCCTCCAATACAAATTGCAGGGAGTGAACAACGTCTCTTTCCCAAGATAAAACCCCAACTTATACACTCCCTAATCTGTGTATTAAGGAGTTGAAACTTATTATAGAACAATCAAAATACCCGACTACTATAGTACGTTATCCAAGTATATGGGGGGGGGGATTGTATAGTGTGCAAGTATATATCCCATAAAGCTTTCACTACACAAATATATAACTCCATCAAAGTACAAAACGTTACAAAAATAAATTAGAATGTTTTCGTAAGCTGTAACTCCAATAATAGTCAACTTGTAACCTCCACTCAAATATTAAAATTAAATTTCAAATTTAAACCATCATTGATTTGTGATTAATATCATATTTAAGTGAAATCTCAATGCTTTAAAAATTGTAACGTTGCAACAACAGTCACACTTGCATAGTTGCAGTAAATTGCTTGAGGATCAAAACGTTTAAGTATTAATTTTTTTAGTAACTTTAAAAATAGATTAGGAGTTACAAATCTCATAATAATGATAATTTAAATTTGATGAGCAAATAAAACAGTAACTTAAAAATAAAAGATTTAATTTTTATATTGAAAAATAAATACATCAAATTAAACCAATTAATACTAATTATTTTTTTAGTTAAAATATCCAACACATTGAAACAAATTTAGCAATATCTCACATAATTATAGCCCTATTTGTATATATATTAATGAGAATTTGTGGTCAAAATTTTCAAATCTTAACCATGAAAATATAAATATAGGGGTTGTCTGGCAATCGGCGGTTGGCTTGTTTGACTTGCTGGAAGTATTAGCTGTATGAATTGGCTTTTTAAGTTAGTTGTTTAAGCCAGCTGTTTACAAAAGTGTTTGGTAAAATTATTCATGGTTGTTAGCTGTTTATTAATGATAAAGTTGACCAACAAGCCAAAAACCAATAGAAAAAGCTACTCCTATTAGCTTTTGGCAGAAAAGCGAGCTTAAAAGCCAACAAAAAAAACCAACAAAAAATTCAATTACCAAACATATTTTTTTGGCTGTTTGACCAAACTAAAAAACCTAAAGCCAAAAGCTAGGCAAAAAGCCAATTGCCAAACACCCCATAATTAAGCGCTAACAAAGCGATTTTTTTTTTTTTTTTTGAAGAAATTATATGAAGGTATATATAATACTAAAAAGACGTTAACTTGTAAAGGTATAACTTATACACTTATAAGGGCATAACTGTAATATTGATACTTTTAACATCATAGAAGAGTAGAAGTTTAGATACCTTAAATTATAATCCAACAACCTTTAAAACTTTTGACTATAAAATGTTAATAAAATTTTAGCCAAACTTACTTTAACCATAGTCACAGTCAAAACATTACGATTATTAAGAAATACTTCGTATGTGAATTGACAAAAAAAAATGGATACAAGTAAAAAAGTTACAATTCATATACTTGTTTACATGTTAAAAAAATCATTTGAATAATTTAAATATTAGTAGAATACAATGAAAAGTGAAAATACAAGTATCTCAACATCTCAAAGGGGCAAATGCATCATTTTTCATGAATAACTTGGGTTAATTTTGTAATTTTGTCAAAAATATTTGCATTTTCGAGCTGTAACAGAAGGTTTCAAGCCTTCCAATGGAGCACTGAAGAGCTTTAATTGAAGATTTTCAACCTGAAAAACGGAAGAACTTCAATGGAGAAGTGGAAGAGCTTCAATAAGCTTCAATAGATCAGAGGACGGCCTAACCCTTTCCCCTAAGGGTTAACCTTGCCCTTCTTTTCTCCCTATACAATTAGGGTTTTCCTTCGTCGCCGGCGAAGCCGCCGATAAATATGGTGGTGTTAGTGGTTGTTCACGACCAAATTCTATGGAGGAGGAGGAAGAATGAAGAAGATGAGAATGAAAAAGATGGGGTAGGAAGAAGGACTGAAGGAGGAAACAAAAAAAAAAAAAAAAAAAAAAAAGTAGTACAAAAAATGTATTAAAAAATTCATATAATTCCTCTTATTTACAAATATGTCATTTTGAGATACACCTCATATTAAGATATGGGGCTAGCTCCAATGAAAATAATTTAAGTAAATATAACTAGCAACATATCATAATTTCAAACCTTCATGTGGAGCCGTGGAGGTCGTATAGTGGAGGAGAGTTGGCTCTTTAATGGCCCATGTGGACGATGTGTTGTCTCGTGTTGACCTATTTAATTCAATAGGTTGTATACCCTTAACACTAACTAGGGCTGACAATTCCTGATCCGACCCGAACCCGACCTGAAGTCACTGAGAGAAACCCGAATTCAAACCCGACCCGATCCGAACTCGAAAACCCGATTTGACCTACATTTCATATTTCGTAATAATATTCAGTTTTACACTATTTTTGATAGTTTCTAAGCACAACCCAACCTGCTGACCCGAACCCCTAACACAACCCTTTTTTTTTTACTAGTATCATGTAAACTTTTGCCATTTCTGCCTATGTCATCAATGAAAATTATAGTTCACACTTCACATCAATATAAATAATTACATACTTAGACTATAATACTTGATTATGTTTGTTAATGATTTGGAATGTACTTGTATTTGGTATCTTCATTTAATCGAAACCGGACAGCACAATGCCGTCCTTGATCCCTTCCTTCCATCTCCAAGAAAAAAAAAGGCCGTCTGTGTGACCTGGTTGGTATATATTTGCATACAAAACTATTAAATCTGGACCTACTTTGCTACTGATTTCTGCTTTCGATTAAAAAATCCAAGTTGAACACAATCACTCATAGTATTTTATAAACAGCTAGCCTTAGTCGTACACCACCACTATTCTATATTTCTAATGTGTGATATTTCTATCCTATCCTCTCTACTCCTCGTTTTCTTTCTTACATTTCAAACCTTAATCGTCCTAAATTAGAAATAATCAAACAAAACCCACAAGATAAACAATTAAAATTGGACAAATTTCTTCTTTTTTGCCGATTTGAATTGCAAAAAGAAAGAAACACCTACACAAAAAAAAGGGTAAAAATGAGTGAATTGAATGAGAGATTTAAAGCATTTATCAACAATAGATGGCTGGTATTTGTAGCAGCAATATGGATACAAGCATGTGCAGGAATTGGGTATATGTTTGGGAGTATTTCACCAGTAATTAAGAGTAATTTGAACTACAATCAAAGGCAAGTAGCAAGATTGGGTATTGCCAAAGATTTGGGAGATAGTGTTGGATTTTTGACTGGTTATATTTGTGAAGCTTTGCCTTTGTGGGCTGCTCTTCTTGTTGGTGCTATTCAAAATTTGGTTGGTTATGGCTGGGTTTGGCTCATCATCACTGGTAAAGCCACCCCTTTGCCTTTGTGGGCCGTGAGTTTTCTCTCTCCTCCTTTACTTTTTTCTCTTTTCAATGATAATAATTTTCTGGGCATTTGAAAGTTGATGTCTTTTTTTTGAAACTATGATCATACAAGTATTTGACTTATATGAATCAATTAGTGAATGATTTGAGTTGCTAAAGTAGTTATTTTTTGCAAGTAATTAGTGATTTTGGGTTGATGATTATGGTGTTTGATTACTGAATTAATGACTTTGTGAGTTGTGATTGATTTAACATTTAAGTATGTTTAGTGTGGTGTTTTGGTGATTGATCTTGCATATTTGAGTACTTCAATGCCTTCTTTGTTGTGATGTAAGATTATTCAGCAAGCAACAATCTGGCGTGGATCTAAAAATTATAATTATTTATTAGACATGTTGAACAACTCCCTCAAAGGTACTATTGGTGAAATTATATAAAATTAGTGTAGAGGAAATAGTTGTTATGATTACTTGTAGTAGAGACTAAAAGGAAATTAATACTACATTTAAAAGGGGTCGTTTTTCGATACTTTTCAGTAACTAAGCTAGGTTCTTAGATGCTATGAATGATGGTATTGTGACTTTGGGCAAAAATGCAAAGTGGTTTGGTTTAGAAGCATTAGAACTTTAAAATTACTAGAAATATTAATTGTTGTATCCTATTCCATGTTGCAGGGAAATGCTTGTTTCTTGTTCTCCTTGAGTTTTCATGTGGCACTGAATTTCTGTTTGGGTGGATTTTCCATGGCATAGATACTCGTCTTAACGGATATTTTGCTGTAGGCCTACAGCTGAACTGCTGAACTACTCTGTCACTTCACATCACAAACATATGAAAATACCTGCTGTATAATGAAATTGGATTATGCTTAGCCTGATTGTATTTGATCCTTGAGCTTTTGTCTTCTTTTAATGTACAGTAGATTCTCATAGATTTAATAACACAACATAAAAATGGATAAGTGTTAGTTATTTAAAACTAGTGATCTCCTATTGTCAATATACTAGTAATTTGAACTATTACCTTTGCGGCATTTATGGATCTCTATAAGCAACGCATCACCACCGCCTTGCCACTGATACCAACTGTTTACCTAAGGTGTGCTCTATAACTTGTTCTGTTGTCATGCTCTACTGCTCTTTTAGGGATATGGTATAGTTTTAATTCCTGCAGGATTAATTTGTTGAGGCATGAAATTCATTCAAAATATGTTTAGATGCTTAAGATATCAGTGATTCCAGAAGTATCTTGGGTTTCTTATTTTATACTCTCATGCGTAGCTTATGTTAGATGCTGAAGATCATAATGCAAAGTGGTTTTGAGAATATATGATAATGTAATGTAACGACCTATTGAATGGTTGAACTACTTTGGTCAAGATCAAATTGTATTTACTGGATACTTTGTTCTGCAGATGTGCCTTCTTATATTTCTCGGAACAAATGGGGAAACGTACTTCAATACAGCTGCTCTTGTCTCTTGTGTGCAAAACTTTCCAAAAAACCGAGGTCCAATTGTGGGTATTCTGAAAGGCTTTGCCGGGCTGAGTGGAGCAATATTGACCCAAATTTATGCCCTAATTCACAGTCCTGACCAAGCATCACTTGTCTTTATGATCGCAGTTGGACCAACTATGGTAGTTATTTCCCTTATGTTCATAATAAGACCTGTCAAAGGTCACAGACAAATCCGGCCTTCTGATGCAAGAAGTTTCTCATTTGTCTATAGTGCTTGCCTTGTGCTGGCTGCTTATCTGATGGGGGTGATGCTTGTCCAAGATCTGATTGATGTCAGTCATACTATCGTCATCATATTCACCTCGATCTTATTCATAATCCTGTTGTACCCTATGTCCATCCCAGTGTTAATGACATTTACCGAAGAACCAAGACAGTCGATTGAGGAAGCTCTTCTTCTGGAGCCTGAGAAAAAGGAATCTGGAAAAGCAGCCGAATCTGACACTGAAGTTGTATTTAGTGAGCTTGAAGATGAGAAACCAAAGGAAGTAGACATGCTTCCAAGGTCAGAGAGGAAAAAAAGAATTGCTCAGCTGCAAGCAAGGGTTGCCCAAGCAGCAGCGGAGGGAGCAATCAGGGTTAAGAGAAGAAGAGGTCCTCATAGGGGAGAAGACTTTACATTAACACAAGCTCTCGTTAAGGCAGACTTCTGGCTTCTCTGGTTTCCATTTGTGCTTGCTTCTGGTTCTGGTTTGACTGTAATTGACAATCTTGGTCAGATGAGCCAATCTTTAGGGTATGATAATACTCATATATTTGTATCCATGATTAGCATTTGGAACTTCCTTGGCCGTGTTGGAGGGGGTTATTTGTCTGAGATTGTTGTCAGGTATGACTCCGGTTCACATTTTTTTACTCAATTTCTGCTGACTGTGATATGAATTATGAAGTTATGCTACTCAGACTCCACCATAACTGGAAGTTAGGTATTTTACTAGGCGTTTAACTGTGTCATTTTATAAAAATTGCTTTTTTTTTAAACCATAAAGAAGTGTGAAGTGTCCATACTCATGTTGGAGAGTGAAGTATCCAAAACAAACACTTGAGGTGAAATAAACAGTCTCAGTAACTTGGACATGAATTCTTATTTTTATTGTAGCACATTTATAAGCCTAGTATTAATGCTTGTGATCAGGGATTATGCTTATCCGAGGCCGGTGGCAATGGCTGTGGCTCAAGTCATACTGGCAGTGGGCCACTTCTTCATTGCAATGGGATGGCCAGGGGCAATGTATGTCGGAACCCTGTTGATTGGGCTTGGCTATGGAGCACACTGGTCTGTTGGTCCTGCTACTGCCTCTGAGCTCTTTGGCTTGAAGAGTTTTGGAGCATTGTATAATTTCCTTACCTTGGCTAACCCAGGTGGTTCATTAGTGTTCTCTGGTCTTATAGCTAGCAGTATATATGACCGAGAAGCAGAGAAACAAGAACAGCAACGCCATCCTAATGTTGGTTCTTTCTTCAATGGTACCCTTACTTCGGAAGCATCAAAGTGTGAAGGTGCTATATGCTTCTTCCTTACTTCCATGATCATGTCTGGATTATGCATTATCGCAATTATCATGACCATGACCCTCGTACATCGGACTAAACCTGTTTACGCTAGCCTCTATGGAAAACCACGTACCTGATCTGGGGAGACGGGGCTGTTTACTATTTTTTTCATTCTGTGATTTACTTCCACAAGTTTTTGCTAGATTTCTCATAATGTGGAATACAATTTTTTTTTCTATCTCAAGCCTGTACACAGACGACACTACGCCCTGACCTTCTCTTGCTTGATACTGAAGCAATTGTATACCTTATTGTTTTGGAGGTCAATACTTTCCTTGAGATTGAATGTAAACCGGTATTTTGTCTCTAGATATTGTACCATAGTATCTGTCCTCCAAACTGTGATATACTCTGGGAGGTTTCTTTTGAATAAGATCATTCTTTCTCCAGATTTGGTGGTATAATGATCTTTCTTGTTCATCTGTTTTCTCTGTTCTATTTAATTTTTGTTTCACTTTTTTCCATTTTATTTTATCAAATGAACACTTTCTACTACCTGAACCACATTGTTTGCATATACTCTCAGTTATGGTTGTAGTGCGTCGATCCAAATTCGATAAATCAACTAGTCTAACTTCGAGCAGCAGAATAGAAAACATTGTGCAGAAATGCAGAATCAAAAAATGCCTTTTTTTGGTTATCTTGTATTGTCTCAGATCCGTTTTGTTCTTCCTGCTTTGACTTTATTTATTTTTTATTTCACAAAAATACTCTAAATGGGAAGAACAAAAAGGATTGGAGGGTGTGCCATATAAACTTCATGCTTAGTCAAGACAAAGTTGTTACCCAGCTACAAGAGACGCAGAGTGTTAATCATATTCATATACAGGTACATTCAAAATGATGAGTGTTTAGCATAATTTTAAGCCTTATCTTATACGATGGAGTACTCTGTAGGAGTTTAATACTATGACTGAAACGCAATTGCTTGTTCTTTTTTCTTTGAAAAGGGAATCTAGACAAACTAAATTTTGTCCTTTAAATTAAACTATATGTGATTATCAAGAAATTTTGGTCCTTAAATAAACCGACTAAAATGGATTAACTTCAGCACATAACTTCCAAAAACAAACCGCAAAATAAGGATCAAGCCAAACACTCGCCGCCTCGAATCTAGTATCTCACTTCTTTGTCTACTTAGCTCCTGTTGCGTGTTTTGCTCTGAAGTCTCTGATAATCTAGACCAAGGAAAATATAATACCCTTGCCTGCATCCTGCTTACTGTTTCACTTCATCACGGACACGTTGATTATAAGAAAAAAAAAAAAAAGAAAAAAAAAGAAGGTTGTGCAGAGTAAGAAAAACTAGAGAGAATCAACTCCATTGTAAAATCTGAATGATTCTGACAGTAGTTTCTGTTTCATTTTAATGTATGCATTCATTCACTGCAATTTATATTATGTACTGCATATTTTAAGGATAAGTCTGGGATTAATCTGTATAGGATTATTATTTTGGGTGTATTAGGATGATAATACTAACAAGGTAGCAGAATTTTCTGATGTTTCTGGTTACCTTACCTGTGACTGTTCACTTGCTGATAAAAGGGGATTAATATCATAAAATATTGATTATGTTAGCCGTTGAATCACATTGATATATGTTCTAATCAAGCATAAAGCTCTTTTATATTTAGCCATCTTGGCACATATGATCAATCCTGCATTCCTGCCTTTATATTAGTGAAAATTGAAACGAATACGAAGGTAAGAAAGTTCTGAAGTTAAAAGTGCTATCCCATACATGACTTTCTGTGAGCATGAAGATGGGCTGCTAAGATAATATTCCTGCATCAGCAACAATCATCTCATTTTAGAACATTCTGCTCAGCTTTCCGAGGCAGCTAGCGCAACTAACATCAATTTTGCTTCATGCCTTAGAATAGGTATCTAAATGCTAATGACATCAGTTATGTGCCCATTATTTTGCAGGCATTGAAACCAATGAACGAAACATGTCAATGCATGAACTTTAAAACTGGATGCTGAATGAGATGACAAGTCCTAGAATGATTATTCGTCATTATCTAGCCTCACCCATTAAACATAGTGTAGTCCCTTCGGATTTCTCCGTTTACTGGTCTTAAAGCCCACCCTCCCAAGCTTCCTCATTGCTCGTATAATGCTGAGCTGAATTCATCCATGTTACCTGCAAATTCCTCAACTATAGGGCGAGTTTTTGGATTGGTGAAGAGAGCCTATTCAGAAGTCAACGAGCCTTTTCCTTGTATCAGGTTCCTGTAATACAAGTTATCAAATGTCAAATGTTCTTGGGCTAATGCCTAATGGGATCCTAGGGATGGCAATGTTAGGTCTACATTTGTTAGGCAGTAGACTTGCAGGAGTTTCTCAACTTAGTTAAGGTTAAGTGTAGGGTCAATTGGGATGCTCCTATGGTGTGAGCTCCCAATGAAGCGATCAGATCTATCTCATTGAGCCTGTGTTTTGCAAACATGGTCTGTAGTTGCTTAAAATCACAATCAGCATCTGGAAAATGCCCTTTCACACGAGACCTGTTTGAGATCAGCCCATCTCTGGAGCATCTTTCTCTGCATCTCCGTTTGGTGCGAAAAATCATAATTGATGCATCACAACGACCCTACAGAAAGAAGGTACGAATTTGTATGAAGTTGCATAGAAGTATAGAAGGTTATTTATGAAATTGTTTTATATTTCAAAACTAGAAGGCTTGAGCATTGCTCTCACCTCGACAAAGCAGTCATGAAAAAACAGGCGAAGAGTTGCTTGAGCTGTTACAAATGTCTGTAGGAACTTTTCTAACACAGCATTAGTAATGATACCCTCCACTGCTGGACAACCAGATCTATAGGAAAATGATTTTCTATTTCTCCATTAATTATATTCCTTACTTCTTCCTGCCTATTGACAATAGTCTGTTGCTTTTTAGGTAAATGTTAAAGGTTATATGCATCAAATATAGTTCGAGAACATTGGCCATTCACCATTCCATTAAGAAGTAATTGGGTTAGGATCTAGTAAGATATCAGTAACTTGGTCCTATGCACAATCAGCTTCTACCTAAAAGTGTCGGATTTTGGTTGATGGGTTTCGTCATCCTAGAGTTGTTACTAATTGTAGGTGCATTCAATCATACAATTGTTAAAGTAGCTACTAGAACGTATAGTTGCATTGTCAGGACATTATCAGACAGATTGAAATTGTATCGAGGCCTTTGGTTTTAGTTTGCAATTTTTGACTCAGAGATGATCATGTTTAAAGATCGAGTTGTCATGGTCATAAGCTACATACAGTGCCGAATTCTCATATATTTTGCTTCTGAGTTTCAAGTTTGCAACTCTTGGCAAATAAACTGTACTGTGAGAATCTTAAGTGCAAGCTTCAGAATAAGGCAATTATGTATGGATTTACCTCAGGTTTTTCTAATGTTCTTGATTCTGCCCCAGGTTGCTCTACTGTTCTTGATTCTACCTCAGGTTGTTCTAATGTTCTTGATTCTATAATTTGAAAACATTAAAAAGCAACTCAAGATTATCATGTTTCATTGAATCCATCAGTACCACAATCTAGTTTAGGTTATTAGGAGTACTGTTTGCACATTCATGGACAAACAAGTGAGTTTTTCAATTTGAGGTACTTACGACCTGTTTAGACTTCCGAGAGTACAACCTAGGCACTCTTCAATAAGCATACATCAATGAAATTAATGTCCAAGTATAATTAATATATGCAGACATTAACATTTTGATCTGGGACAAATAACTTGCTTCTTACTGAACCAATCAATAGGACTTAAAGTGGACGCGGCATGGATTGTGACTCATGAGACTTGAATTATATGCTCAATTGAAAAATTCATATATGTGTAATGCAAAGAAGTGGTAAGTAGATCAAATTACTTAATTTGAATATATAATTATGGTCTTTTCTTTCCCTTCATTTGCATATTGTATTTCTTGATGGGGACATATATATAAACAAGGTGTGTGTTACTTTCATTATCTATAATACTCCAATTTGGACCACTAATAGTCAAGTTGTATGTGTTAGTATTTTATATATAGTTAAGCTATCAACATAGGTACTAATAGTCTTAGTGCTTCATGTGCTAAGGTCGATACGACTCGACAGTTGACATAATAATCCTTCTTTAATTCTTAAGCTAAAGGATAGCTTTTATGGATTTTAGCTATGGGTTTGAATGTTCCACTTATTATTTGCAAGTTGTATTTATTTCAAGAATGTCTAAATCATCACAAAAACCAACTTAATTCCTTCCTTGATTGTTTTTCACCATTATGTTAAGACAATTAATGCAGAACAAGGCATACACAATCGTCGTTACTCACTCGTTTCATACAGTTCGTGAAGCAGACGTATTTTCTGAAAACAGGATCAGAATGAAGCAAATATACTGGTTGATTAACTTATTACACTATCAGAAATATAATGAATTCATACTGCAATACAATTTTTTATAAGGGATAGTGTTCTTCAGGATTCATGAGTTAAATGCTGCACAGTTCCTTCTGATTTCACCTTGATTACCAGTTTTGACATCAACTCGACCGAGCTTTCTCATTGCAGTAATGAAAGCTGCATTAAAGTTGCCAGGATTATTGGCAAAATCAACAACTGTTGGTCTAGAAGCAGGGTTAGTGAAGAGCTCCTGATCTGATGTAAGCAACCCCCTTCCTACAATTAAGCTCTTATAATACGAATTGTCGAATGTATTCGAGCTCAAAGGGTCCAAAAAGGTGACAATGTTTGGGTTTACACCTGGTGGGCATTGTTGCTGCAACTGTAGGGCATATAAGGGGTCCAGGGTAGGATCAATAGGGCTAAATTGAGAGTAATTGTAGATACGTTTTGAAAACTTCGAGCAGTGGGCTGCACCTATGGTGTGAGCTCCTGACAGCGCGACAAGATCAGTTTGGTTCAGGCCATGCTTGGCAAACAAGTTAAGTAGCTCGTTAAACTTGTGGTCTGCTTTCGGTAGATGGTTTGTGACATCTGATTTCTTTGACCTTAACCCATCTCGACGTCCAAGTTCTACACTGAATGAAGGGCCTCCTGTCTGAAAACATATGAAATTGACTATCAATAAGGGAAAAAAAATGTCCATACAGTCTTCGTCTAAACAGATTGAGGGGTGTAAAGTGTAATTGATGGTTCGTATGTAATATATAAAGACGGTATTGTAATATGTTACTTTACGCGTGTTAGAGCTCCCAATGTAATGTGGATGTGGATGATTCATCAGGTAAATATGGGACTTACCAGAACTACAGCCTCTCTGGCGGCAAGAGCCAGAATATCAGCACAGGAGACTACACCGGGACAAACAGCTTCAACTGCTTGCTTGGCCTTTATAACCGTGTCAAATCCGTCTCCTGCTAGTGAGAGATCGCTGTCTGAATCCTTCTCTGCATCGCCATTTGGTGAGAAAATCATGACTGAAGCATCACACCCCTGTAAACACAAAAAGGATGATCAGGTAAACACTCTCACTCAAGGGTATATAAAATTAGTAGTAGTAATTTTGAATGTTTTCTTATTTGTCTACTAGCCTTGGACTACTGTATTTTTCTGGTGAGCGTTTTGGTGCATGTATGCTGGCTTAAGATAAGAACTAACATGAGGAGTCCTTATAAGTTATAACCATATGGCCTAGCTATGTGGTGCTAGTTGAAATTGTGACCAATTTTAAAGTTTTAAGTTTTTTTCAAGGATATTTTAGTAAAATAGTTTTGGTTAAAATTTATAGCAAAACATTGTTGCGTAATACGAGTAATTCATTTACTGTAAGTCTGTAACTACTAACCAAAGTATGCCAAAACAAATCATATAGGTATTTATTTGCATTTAAGAAGGAAAAAAAAAAAAAAAACACCACCTTGTTGATTTGAAAGATTATAGGTATGTCATAATTGCATGGAAAAGTATTACCTGAACAAGGCAGTCATGGAAAAACAGACGTAGTGTTGCTGGAGCTGTTACGAAAGTTTGATCATGTTTCTTCTTTACAGCCTGTTGCACTATACGTTCGAGACGAGGGCAAGAGGAACTGTAAAAATTTTCCGATAATTGAGCTTCTCCTCCCTCAATAACCATCATAATGACCATTAGAATTGAGCAAAGTATTCTCCAATCTTCCATTTTCTTCCTTGCTTTCTCTCTTGAGAACATTTCTAAAAGGTTGCTAATAATATTACTCCGTATAATTAAGCTTGATGAAGAGAAGAATAAGAAGTTTGTACACTATGGCCTATTAGCCTAAGCATCCAACTTATTATATAAATCCTTTGTAGTAGTGATGTTGTCTTATTGCCTAAACTTATGTGATTAATCAATAAAATTAAGCCACGTCAGTTTTGTTCTATATCCAACGTGGCTATCCATTAGAAAGGTCAAATTGGACAACTTCGATATACAGCCTGGAATTTTTGCTTCATTAATTTAACTTGTTTCATTGCCCTAATTATAGGGTTATTATTTTATTTGGTGTCCTAAATTCTGAAGATTTCCAAGTTAATGATAGAGGTTTATCTGATAAGTACTCATTATATGCATGGTTGACTAGCTTGACTCGTAGTCTCATACGTAGACATGTCAAATCTGAAGAGCAGGTGATGCATTTTTTAAATTATAGGGTACCTGATTCATTATTTTAAACTATGTACAAGGGCACCTCATGAAAATTTCTTAATAACAAAGATAGTATTTAACAATTGAGTATATAAGTATTTTCATAATCTACTATACTATTTAGAGCTGTTTTTATTAAGGTGGATAAGTTGCTTGGTGCAATTTGGTATATAAATCATTTAATTAATTATCATCACCACTATTTCCACTAATTATCTATAAAGCCTATATTTATCAACAGTGTATGCACTTTTATGGTGCTAATCAATCTTGAATAATTTAATTAGGGTCGGTGTTGTTTGTATGCTATAATTAGAGTGACGTATAGGTTTTAAGCTAGTGTTGGCTTGCACCAACAAGGTTGACATTGACACTACAACAAATCCCAACATTGTTCTTCAACACTTTATTGGTATATGGTATTATTATATACGCTGCTTCTTTACAATTTTGAACTCATTTTTTTTTTTAATTTGGTTGTCATTAACTTTTTCCACAAGAGTTCTTCTATTATAGAGTAGCTAGCTTATACATTTTAGATTACTGAAAATAGTCATGAAATGTGTAAATACATATTATTATTACTTAGATAGCAAAAGATAATAAATTAATAATTGATATATAAATGGGTTGAGGTCCTTGAGAGTGTGGACCCATATACTACCAAAATTTTTAGAATTTCCCAAGGGAGGAAAGTTCTAATAGTGGAAAATACAATATTGTGAAAAGATGATACTTCCTCCTTTTTTTTTATTGCATCATAGGGGTTTTGGAGGCAAAATTTGGTAGTGGAAAAAAGTAAGAGAGAAAAACGTAAAAATACAAAATTGTCCATGTAATGTAAGATAAAATAAAAAGTAAGTGTGAAAAAGTAAGGGTATGTTGGGTATTTGCAGTGTGAACATAGATATTTTTTATCCTAAAAAGGAAATGATGCAATAATAAGTAAACTTCCTAAATTAGTAAGTGATGCGATAAAAAAAGAACGGAGGAAGTAATAAATTTATACAGTACTATTACTTCAATAATAGGATGTCGCCAAAAGGCCAAAAATAAAGACCGTAATCAACACGTTTTTGGTACAGCACGCTGCACCATGCGACACGCTGCCAAGTCAGCATAAATAAGGGGATTGACGCGCGTATAACGGGATTTATATACACGCGCTTTTATTTCCCAAAAAACAACCTTAAACCAATAAAAAGCTCCAACACGAAACCCTAAACCCTAAAATCCAGAAAATACATTTTTAAGTGACGATTAATTCGAGAAAACAACCACCAAAATTTCAACTCGATTTTTTTCGATCTAATATCGATCAATTTTTTTTTCCCAGAAATTTCAACTCGATTAATTCGACCTAATATCGATCGATTTTTTCCTAGAAATTTCAACTCGATTAATATGACAGAAAAATCACAAACCGGATTCACAAGAATCAATGGATATTGAAGAAATACGAGATTCATTGATGAATCTGAAAATCGACATAAATGAAGAATTTGATGTAGAAGACGAAAACAGATGTAGAGAAACGAAGTATCTAATGTCAGCAATGAATTCCAAGGTAAATAAAGTAACCCCTATAAGTAATCAAACTTGAAAATTTTAATATAATAAACTAAAAAGTAACCCCTGATTATAGTAACCCAAGTAACCCTTATTTTTAAATAACCTAATATAACTTAAGTAACCCATGATTATATAACATGTAACCCTTGTATACTTTAATTAGTAATATAAGTAACCCCTGTACGTATTAACATGTAACCCTTTTATATTTAATAAGTAATATAAGTAACCCCTGTACGTATATTGTAATAGTAACCCAAGTAACCCTTATTTTTAGGTAACCTCTTATAACTTAAGTAACCTCTTATTTTTATACTTTAATAAGTAACTCAAGTAACCCTTGTATAATATTGTAATAAGTAACCCAAGTACCCCTTTATTTTTAAGTAACCTCTAATAACTTAAGTAACCCCTTATAACTTAAGTAACCCTTATTTTTAAGTAACCTCTTATAACTTAAGTAACCTCTTATAACTTAAGTAACCTCTTATTTTTTTTACTTTAATTAGTAACTCAAGTAACCCCTGTATATATATTGTAATAAGTAACCCAAGTAACCCTTTATTTTTAAGTAACTTCTTATATTTTAAGTAACCCCTTATAACTTAAGTAACCCCTTATAACTAAAGTAGCCCCTTATAATAACTTAAGTAACCCCTTATAACTAAAGTAAACCACTGTGTACTATAACAAATACATACTACTAACTTTAATATACTTTTTTGTAGAAATTAATACAAGTATTATAGAAACAAGTCATAGTACATTGACAAAAGAAAGTGGAGTTCAAGATGAAATTCAACAAGAGAATATTGCCGATTTTGCAGGAAGTCTAGTAAGGTTTACGGCAACAACTTTGAATGAAATTTATGATCAATATAAGCTTCATGCTACAGTTATAAGATTTAGTATAAGAAACTCAACAACAAGGTACTCACAAGGGAAAGACAGAAAACTTATAGGAAAAAATTTTGTTTGTTCTAAAGAAGGGTTCAGGTGTGCACCAAAAGTTATAAAAACACCACCTCCATCTAATGAAGAGAAAAAAAGAAAACACCAAGTACCTATTACCAGGACTGGTTGCAAGGCATTAATTAGAGCAAAAATAAATAAAGATGGAATGTTTCAAGTAGAAGAGCATGTTATGGTACATAACCACGAGTTGACAAGAAATGTTTGGCAACATCTACACAAATCGGAGAGAAAATTAACAAATGACAAAGCTAAAGTCATTGATCTAATGGAAAAGAGTGGATTAAGAACAGCAGAAGCATTCAGTTATTAAGTAATGAAGCAGGTGGGCAGGAGAATGTTGGACACACTATGACTGACCACTACAAATATATTTCAAGAAAGAAAATGAAAGAAATTCAAGGAGGTGATGCACAAGGATATATAGAAGGATTATACAAAAGGCAAGCAGAAGATGGAGATTTCTTTTTCAGGTAAACCCTCCTATAAGTAACCCTGAGTAATAACTTAAGTAACCATTTTTTTTAAGTAACCCCTGTGTATTAACAAGTAACTCTTGTAATTTTTCAAATTTAAGTTAGGAGGAGGTGAAAACCAAAACAAACTTAATGCTATTTTTTGGAGGGACTCTAAAATGAAGGAAGATTTTCAAATTTATGGAGATGTAATATTTGACACCACATATAGGACAAACAAATATAACCTTATTTGTGCCCCTATTGTTGGTGTCAACAATCATTAGCAGAATGTTATGTTTGGTTGTGATTTTATTGCTGATGAGAAAATCAAGACATTTGAGTGGTTGTTATCCACATTCAAGAAATCAATGGGTCGAAGTGAACCTGCCTCTATATTCACTGATCAAGACATGGCTATGTCTAAAGCAATTGAAAAGGTAACCTCAAAACCGAAATTATAACTAACCCTTATAACTTAAGTAACCCCTTACCTTTTATTACAACTTAAGTAACCCCTTACCTTCTGTTACAACTTAAGTAACCCATGAATATGTCACAACTTAAGTAACCTCTATTTTAATATTTTGCAGGTATTTCCTCTATCGAGACACAGATTATGTATTTGACATCTAATAAAAAATGTTATATCAAGGTTTGGAGCCTTAAAAAGGGATATGGCATTCAAAGATGTCTTCAACAAATGTCTTTCTGGTTGTGTCATAGAAGAAGAATTTCAGGTAACCCCTAAAAACTTAAGCAACCCTTATTTTAACTAATCCTTTATAAATTATCAGATTTCAAGTAACCCCTAAAAACTTAATTAAATCCTTAATTATATTCTTAATTCTTAAGTAACCCATTATAATTAAGTAACCCCTTATTTAAAATTTGTGTTAATAATTATGTGTTTATGACTGAGTAACCCGTTATATAAAATTTGTGTTAATAATTATGTGTTTAATAACTATGTGTTTATGATTGAGTTATGTGTTATGTTAATATAAGAAAAATTATCAGATTTTAAGTAACCCCTAAAAACTTAAATAACTCCTAAAAACTTAAGTAACCCCTTAATCTTAGGTAACCCCTTAATTTTTAATTATTATCAGATTTTAAGTAACCCTTAAAAACTTAAGTAACCCCTAAAAATTTAAGTAACCCCTTAATTCTGAATTATTATCAGATTTTAAGTAACCCCTAAAACTTAAGTAACCCCTTAATTCTTAAGTAACCCTTTAATTCTTAAGTAACCCTAACTAAACCCTATAAGTTATCCCTGTACATTAGCAACTAAAATATTATATGATTGAATTTCAGACATGCTGGAATGATATGATAGAGAAATATAAGCTACAAAACAACAGATGGTTTAAAAGGTTGTACAATTTGAGGGAAAAATGGTGTACAACTTTAAGTAAGGATTTCTTTTCAGCTGGTATACTATCATCACAGAGAAGTGAAAGTACCAATAATGCAGTTAGGTTTAAGGCCAACAAAAACACAAGCCTAACTGATTTCTTCAAAATATTCAATCAGACAGTGAAAAGGTGGAGGAAGAATGAGTCTGATGCTGATTTCAAGTGTTCAAACTCCCAGCCAAGTTCAAATTTGCCATTTTTTGAGTTACTAAAACATGCATCTGAAGTTTATACACAGACTATATTCAGATACTTTGAGACAAAATTTCTGTACTCAATTGGATGCTTAACTCGTCTCCATTCTATAATGGGAAATTTTTACTTTTATGAGGTGCAGATTGAGTACGATGAATTAACTAAGCAGAAGGTTACATATAACTATGCTGAAAATACAATAGCATGTTCTTGCAAGAATTTTGAAGAGGTTGGTTGGCTGTGTTATCACTGTATAAAGATCTTGCAGAATCATAATGTGACAAGGATACCTACCTATTACATTCTTACAAGATGGACCAAAATAGCAAAAGAACATGTCTGGACGAAAAGAGATGAAATGGCAGTTGAAAATGAAACTCAGACACAAAAATTCATGCCTTGGCGTCACATGATGGCAAGAAAAAGCTATAGCCTAGTTCTAAAATGTCAAGAACACAAAGAGACACGCAACTTGATGGAAGCATATTTGAAAATGATAGAAGAGAAGGAAGAAGAATTTATAAAGGAGTTGGAAAAGAGAACAGAGAGAAGGAAACTTTATCTGACCAACAGGCAACTTCATCTGATTAGCCAGCAACTGCATCTAATCAGTAAGCAGATTCATGTGATCACCAGCAAAATCAAGAAGAAATCCCTACAGCCATGGATCTAGAAAAAGCAAACACAAAAGGAAGAAGCAAAAGACTAAAAGGGCACTTTGAGAAAGGGAAACAACCAAAAACAAAGAGAACAAAAGCAATGCAAGCCAAAGGAAACACTAGAGAATTTGGAACCATAACTCCCGTTCAAAACCCAAAGTTATTTTAAATTTTGTGTTTAAATTATATGTTTATGACTTTTTTTAAAGTATATGTCAATGATTGAGTCATGTGTTATTTTAAGTTATTTTTTTTTGAAATTTTTGCATTTATTATATTTACATTATTGATGACAAATAACTTAAGTAACCCCAAGTACTGATTAACTTAGGTAACCCCAAAAAACTTAAGTAACCCCTGAAAACTTAAGTAACCCCAAGTACTGGTTAACTTAGGTAACCCTTTAAAACTTAAGTAACCCCTTATAACTTAAAACTTAAGTAACCCCTTAAAACTAAAAACTTAAGTAACCCCTTAAAAATGAAAATTGAAAACTTAAGTAACCCTAAAAATTTAAGTAACCCTTAAGTACCCAAAACTCAAGTAACCCCTTAACCCCTAAAAACTTAAGTAACCCTTAAGTACCCAAAACTTAAGTAACCCCTTAACCCCTAAAAACTTAAGTAACCCTTAAGTACCCAAAACTTAAGTAACCCCTGAAAACTGAAATCTTAAGTAGCCCATTCAAACTGAAAACTGAAATCTTAAGTAACCCCTGAAAATTTAAGTAACCCCAAAAACTTAAGTAACCAACCCTTAAGTACCCAAAACTTAAGTAACTCCTGAAAACTTAAGTAATCCCTGAAAACTTAAGTAACCCCACCTAAGTAAAAAACTTAAAAATAACAATCTCAAAACTTAGGTAACCCTTAAGTACCCCTGAAAACTGAAATCTTAAGTAACCCCCATTCAAACTGAAAACTGAAATCTTAAGAAACCCCTGAAAATTTAAGTAACCCCAAAAACTTAAGTAATCAACCCTTAAGTACCCAAAACTTAACCAACCCTTAAGTACCCCAAAACTTAAGAAATCCGTGAAAACTTAAGAAATCCGTGAAAACTTAAGTAACCCCACCTAAGTTAAAAACTTAAAAATAACAGTCTCAAAACTTAGGTGACCCTTAAGTAACCCCTAAAAACTTAAGTAACCTCTTAAAACTGAAAACTTAAGTAACCCCAAAAACTTAAGTAACCCTTAAGTACCCAAAACTTAAGCAACCCCTGAAAATTTAAGTAACCCATTCAAACTGAAAAATTAAGTAACCCCAAAAACTTAAAACTTAAGTAACCCCAAAAACGTAAAACTTAAGTAACCCATTAAAACTGAAAACTTAAATAACCCCTCAACACTTAAGTAACCCCAAAATACACAAAACTTAAGTAACCCCTTAAAACTTAAGTAACCCACCTAAGTTAAAAACAACAATCTCAAAACTTAAGTAATCCAAGACTCCAATATTATAAAAGTACAAGATTACCAAATTATAAAAATCTAAACTCCCAATATTATAAAAATCCAAGACTCTAATATTATAAAAGTACAAGATTACCAAATTATAAAATTTAAATGTCATTACAAAAGTTACTATGTACAAATACAAGTAAGGCTTCTTACTTCTTTGCAGATTTTGCAACAACCTTTACCTTTTGGCTTGCTCTGCCATGTTTTCTACTGCAATTGTAGCAGCAATCAACACTGCGCTTTCATCTTCCTCTTTTGAAATGTTTCCAGACTTTGCAGCAGCCTTTACCTTGGCTTGATCTGCCATTTTCTCTGCTGCAATTGTAGCAGCAACTAACTCTGCATCTTCGACTTCCTCTTCATCTTCGTCTTTCTCTTCTTCTTCTTCCTTTGTTGAAGATTTACCTTTATTCTTTCTTCCTTTTCTTTTTGATTGACTAATCTTCTTAGCCTTCATACTTTGCTCAACCATTTTATTAACCTTGTCAATTTCCTCATTAAACCTGACATCAACATAAGTTTCCTCGTTGTTGTCATAGAAAGATTGCATACTTAATATGACATCATCACGTCTTAAATTTAAATTGCATAACACCAAAGAAACACATATTTATACTCTAAAACGACGTCTCTCCAATGCCTATAAAACAATACATAAGTACAAGAAAGGTAATATCAATCAACATCCACTTATTAGATTATTTAATAAAATAAAAAGGGAAAATACCTGAGTCAAAGTTTTACATTTGAACACTTTTCCTTCATACTCAGCACAATGATACAAACAAAAGACTCCACAATCATTATTCTCATCTATACACTTTTGAGAATTAAGTGGAATCATTTGAATCTTAAAATCTCTAACACATTCTCCCATATCATGGCCTTTTAAAACCAAATATTTTGACATGTAAAGTCTTTGGGATAAAAATATAAGAAAACAAAATTAGAAACATCTTATGATATATGTAATCATTTCAAGTAATCCCAACTTAAGTAGCCAGAATAAGACTTCATAATGAAAGCAACCCCTACAAGTAACTAAAAACATATCAAATAATCAAAATTTCAAACCTTACCTAGTACCATGTGAGAGTATAATACTCAGTGTGAAATTCATCAAAATTGGTTGATATGCATGGAATAAGATCTGTTGTCCAAGTAATCAACTGTGTACCCAATGAAATTTATAACCACAATAGAATATGTTTGCCATAGTAGATTGGAATGAATATCTACAAAAAAAAAAAAAAAAAAACAAAATTAAGCAACCAATTCAAGTAAACTAATTCAATAGACACAAAAAATACATGAAACCCCATACAAGTAATTTCTTATAATTTAAGTAACCCTTTATTATAATTAAAAGTTTACAAGTATTAAACTTAAGTAACCCCTTAATTATAATTATAACTTTACAAGTATTAAACTTAAGTAACCCCTTAATTATAATTTTAACTTTACAAGTATTAAACTTAAGTAACCCCTTAATTATAATTATAATTATAACTTTACAAGTAACCCCTTAATTATAATTATAACTTTACAAGTATAAAATTTAGGGATTTTTAAACATCGCCCGAAAATTACCATATAAAGCCCACAAATATGACTTGGTGTGACTTTATTGCCCTTTTCCTTTTAAAAAAAAACACTCTCTACTTCTCTCTACAAAAAATAAGAAAATCTACCTCTCTTAAAAAAATTAATTACGACAATGTCGAGGCGGCAAGGAAAAGAGGTGGCGGCGCCGACGGCGGAGGAAAGGCGGCGACCTGGTGGCAAGGTAATTATTTAATTATTTTTTTTTAAAAAAAAAAAAAAGAAGACGGTGGCGTGTGGTGGGCGTCAGGTCCGGCAACCAAAGCCGGTAGGGTGGCGTCTGGCTTGGAAGCCCAGCCACCAGAGCAGGCGTCCAAACCAGAAGCCAGCCCATTGGTTGTGGCGTCCAGATGTGGCGCCTGTGCCAATGGGTGGGCGTCCAGTTCAGGCGCCTGCCCACTGGCTACGGCTGCCGGAGCTGGCGCCACCGCCAGTGGGTGGGCGTCCTGGCCAGGCGCCCGCCCCTTTTTTTTTTTCTTTTTTTGTATTTTTTGTTTTTGTTTTTGTTTTTGTTTTTTTTTTTGTTTTGTTTTTTTTTTGTTTATTTGTTTTTTTTTGTTTATTTGTTTTTTTGTTTTTGTTTTTTCTGATTTTTTTTTGTTTTTGTTTTTTTTGTTTTTGGTTTTGTTTTTTTTTTTTTATTTTGCAAAATCAGAAATTTAGTTTTATTTAAAATAATTTTGTTTTATGTCTAATTTTTTTTAATGTGTTTTATTTTTTTTAAATATTTATCAACTTTATGTGTTTTTTTTATAAATCGTGTATATTTTATTTTTATAAAATCAGATTTTTTTTTTGTGTTTATGTTTTATTTTTTTTATGTTTGATGTTTAAACATTTTTTATGCCTTAATTGATGTAGTATGTGGAAATTGTTTGTGTTAATGTGTAATTGTTTTTTTATTTAAAATGTGTAATACATTAGGGTATTATGTGTGTATTTGTGTATGTGTAATATATTTGTTTTTTATTTTTTATGTTTAATTATTTGAAATAATTTTTAATTTTTTTGGAAATCATAAATTTTGTAATATATTAGGGTATTATGTGTGTATTTGTGTATGCCGTATAATATTTTTCTATGTTTAATTAGTTGAAATAATTTGAAATTTTTGTTTTGTGTCCTATTTAGTCATCATGTCTTTGATTTTTTATAATCTTTATTAATTTTATGTTTATAAACATGACGATATGTTGGAAGTGCTGGTATTTTGTATCTGTAGGTAGTTATTTATTTTTCTACAAAACTTTTGTATGTTTATATATTTTTAAATTTTTTGTAAAATTCACTGGGTCGTCATGGTGCGGGGAAGAATGTAGAGCTTCTTAGTAGAAGCTATTCAGTGGAGAGGTCGGGGCATAGACATGTTAGATCCCGTGGTATTTCGGCCTTGACTCGTAGAGAACGGATCCACTGTCGGGATGAGGATGACGATGAAGATGATGATGCTGAGGAGGGTGACCAGGAGGAGAAACAGGAGGAGGGCGCATATGAGAATGAGGATGTGGACGATGGGAGTGGACCGTATGATGATTACGGTCCATTCAGTCAGAGGGTTGATGACATGTACGAGACACATATGGTGGAGGTGCGTAAGGGTAGGGGTCGTAGGTTTGTTAGTAGATCTGGTTCATCATCTGCGTCCACTGTATCTGGGGCAAGCAGGTTACGGTCGAGGGTCGTTAATGATTCTTGGGTTGTTAGGAGTGAGGTGCCCGGTGGGCCTGTTGACGGGAGTGTGATTCCTAGCTTTCTAGGACACATAGCTTCCCGTATTTGGGAGGACCAGGAGAGGCCTTCAGTTACGGGGTTGTTCAATGTCATACCCGGGAAAAGACTGGTAGCTTTTTGCGTACATGGGCTGAGGCTTGGCCGGCGGAGAGCGAGATTTTCGAGCGACTGGAGGGCACTGGGGTGAATCACGTTCCTTCCACCATGCACGATAAGATT